GAGTATATATATCGGGGCGCGCCTTTAGCTTTTTCCCTCAGGTGAACAAATATCTTGGGACGGCTCTGTTATTATGCACAATCAAAAAAAAAAAAAAAAAAATTGATATCTGCATTCTCAAGTATTTTTAACAAATTGACTGATGCCATCTAACGTTTCTAAATATTTCATTAGTAATATAAGGGTTTTATTTCAAAACATACGCATATTACAAAAATTACGTTAATGTTAAAAATTCAAACTTGCAGTTTTTTCCATCTCCACATAACTATAAAAAAGTCAATTTCGAATTCGTAGTGTATTATTACAGAAACGTATTGGGTGTTCAAAGTATTGGAATTGAAATTTAAGAGTAATAACAACTGCACAACCCACATAAAATTTACAGCTAATTTCCAACGAATAAACTGTACATAGTTCGGAAGACGGAACAGATGGTACATCTTCAAAAGCAGATCATTCTGCGCAAAAGCACTGATTAAACTAAATTAATGGCTAACCAAAGTTGAATTTCAATAACTATTAAAACTGAAGTAAGCGTGCATCACTTGCTTGCACTGAAATTTAAATGGTGAAAAATTATTAAAGGAAGCGTATTAGAATTACATTTAATTATATTTTCGCTAATAAATGCAGCTTATGAAATATTTTTAGTTTACATTAGAATTTTTATCTTTATGCATTCAGTAATTCAAACGGTAATGAAGCATCAATGAAATTAGGATGCAAATTCCAATGCTATTTTCTGCCGGAATTAGAGCGTTCCCTTGCTGAATAGAAAATATTCACATTTCAAACACATGACATTTACAGTGCAAATTCAAAAAAGAGGAAAATGTTATTGTCAGTTTGGTTACAATATCTATTACAAGTATTTTTTCAAAAGAAGTAAAAATAAAAAAAGTAGACACCTCTATTTGCAAGTGTCACCAAATTTTGTTCAACGCATTTACATCTCTTTTATTTTACCGATATTTTTCGATGTAGTCATGGAATTACGCTAAGAGTACATGTAAAAATCAAAATAAGGACAAGAGTATTAAAGGAATTGTACAGTTAATTGTTTTACAACTTTTTCATAACCGGTGCTTAAAATAAAAACGATATCCGTCAAACATTTTTCTGTCGTCAGATGCAAGGAATCCGACAAAGAATGATGGGGTTCCATAAGTTTTAATATTCTCAGTGAAATATGCATTATGTAAAATGATTTGAAAACGTTTTTTGTATTTAACGCAAACACTAAAAAAAATATGAAAAAACGTAATAAACTTCATTATACGCACTTTAATCAGTTTGACCAGACGTCATAATTATACTCAGTTTTTCTCCTTAATCTGATAATAAATGTCTGATGTAACCTTGCAATTGCTTGTATGATTTCTATTTGAGGTAGTCAAGATCATTAATACACTGTTTATCATGAATTAAGGAAAAATCGCAAAAATGACGATTGCTCAAAACGTTATATGTAGGATTTAATGAAACTGGCAGTATGCAACACATAGTAAGGTATAGTAAAATAACATGAAAAGAAATTGTCAGACAATTATGGTGTTACAGAAACTAGCATATGTATAAAATGAGCAAATCAGATATGTCAGTTTGGTATAGGAAATTAACCTTCAATATGGAGTATGATTTCCCCTAGAAGCAATGCAACACATACAGTAATGTGCGATGCTGTCAATTATGCAGTCTATCAGCTCCATAGGAAGTGAGAGGCATTGCTCTTGCAAAGGAGTTGCAGACGTGGCAAGGGTCTAAAGAGGAGGAGGGAGAGCAGTCTTCCTAAAGCATCCCAAATATGCTCGATAGGATTCAAGTCCGGTGATCCAGTTGGCCACTCCATGTGCTGAATTGTTTGCTGCTGAAGATAATCATCCACGATGTGAGTCCTGTGTGGTCTAGAATTGTCGTTCTGAGTATTCACGGTTCCGCATGGAGAGACATGGAGGTCTGTGCGTCAACCCAAACAGATACCACCCCAGACACAGACACTGCCTCCTCCATAAGATTCTCTTTAATCTGAAATTAAATCTGTGAAAATTCTCTTTCACAGATGGAGCAGACAGAAAAAGCCCTCCATTGAACAGGCGTACAGAGGATATTTTGATGTGCCCACTTCAAACGTTCCCTTCTGTGAAGTGACGTAAGTGGCACGCAAATGGTTGATCGTCTCGCGTACAGACGTCCTATGTAAAGTCAAAGGAATATATAGGTTTGCTCTCATACATGCAATTTCATGCTCCTCGCAGATGACGTATTCCGATTGCAGCACCACTAATTTGCATACTGCAGTTTTACTCTGCAACTCTTACTGACAACATATTCAATTTTATACAAATTGGCTAATTTTTGAACGAGTTACCACTATTTTTATGATTTTTTCCTTAATTTTTGGAAACCAATGTCCTTTCTCAACAAACTTCATTTTTGACAAAATCTCATAGGAACAGAGGCAGGAGTCTAATGTGGTAAGATCAGAACATTTTACGCAGGGGCGAAAGGATTTGATCTGATAGACGCGGATAAACTAGTTCAAAGGATCTGGAGATGGTGATCCTTAAAAACTATATTTATAAAAAGGAATTATTAAGTAAAGTATTAAAAGTTACTTTATTAATGCGGATGTATAGATCAGTCACTTTTTCAATTTCAAATATTAAAATTTATATTAGACCCTCAGAACATTAAAAAATGCATAAAAACAACGAAAATGAAACAAAATTGCTGAAATTTTTTTAAATATGTGTAAATACAAATATAAAAATTGCAAAAATGGTGTAAATTTAAAAATAAATTTTTTGTTAAGATAATAATTTTTTAAGAAAAAGTTCCCGTCTGGGCCTGAATTCATTATATCGTCACTTTTTACTAGGTTGAATAATTCATGAAGGATTCATAAAAGGAAATAATTCATGAAAGGGAATACCTTTAAATGAGACTGTATTTGTTTCTTATAAGAATTTTGTATTAAAAAACAAAATAAAAAAGTTTAATCAAACAAAAGGTTAATTTATTTATTAAAAATATGTTATAAAAATGGTAAAAAATAATTGTAAAATTAATAAAATAGTTTCCAAATAAAATTTTTCTTGCCACTAAAATTTAAATTGATCCATATTTAAATGCTATTATGCATTCAAATAATTTTGTGTAAATTATACGAAATTACCTAAATACAAGCCACCTAATATCCTGAAAGCCATGAATATAACTTCTATCTTCTAAATACAATCCCTAAATTTTGAAGTAATTCTACCTTATATCAATCTTATATTATCATTTTTGCCACAAAGCTATTGGTCATATATCAGTATGTTTCCAAATCAAACAACGCAGCCCATGTAAAAACATAGAATTATTTTGTATTATTATGATTTACTACCGTTTCACACACAATGTATATCAGCTGTTCTTATTTTACAAATTTTTCAGTACTGCTTAGTAACAGGCACATCAGAATAAGGTCCAAAGAGCTTCCAGGTTACAAACTCCTTAGAAAAGCTTTGCTTTACCTGGCTGAAAATATTACCGATGCCTTCCTCTAGTTGACACATGGCAGGTACTCCACACCTCTATTGCCGGACGCTTGCTCGGAAGCATTCGTCGTAAATAGCAGAAATCATTAATAATTTAGCCGATTCATCCCTTAAAACTTCTACAGGGAGTAATGACGCACCCTAGTTCCATCTGTTCTTAGAGACTATTCTAGCTATTCAAACACTGATCAAGACCGTCTTAATTAAGGACCTCTAGACTTTACTGTTTTGAGAGTAGCTTTCTGAAGAAGAAGAATAAATTTATTAAAACATGTGCAGATGTATTCACGGGCCTGTAGGTTGTTCTCATATTTAAGATAGCACAGATATTCGTGGCAAGTGATCCTTGCTCAACTGTGCCAGTACCTTCAGGCAAATTTCCAAAAAAAAAAAGTCTACTTGAATTTCAAAACAAAAGTATACTTGAAATTGCCAAAATAAAAATCTATTTGAATTCTATGAATACAATTTTTAATTCGATGAAAGCAACCTTTATTATGATGATGCCACCTTTATGCAAGTTGATTTTTGTGAAAGATTTTGTTTGGGAAACAATCGCTAATTTGCGTAAAGTGCCGGCAACTTTATCATGGATAACTATTTTAAAGAGGTGGAAACACATTGAAATTATTCCTTTTTAGGATGAGGAACAAAGAATTACGCTGCACTATGGTGAATTCGCGACGAGCTAACAAAGACCGTCTTAAGACAATGAGTTTAAGATGTTAGATTTTATTTGAATTACTCCTCTGTTTTTAGTGTTATGAAATCTCCTTTTCTCATGCGCAATCTGTTATTGTTTTCTAAATGGATTCTGCAGTTATGATTAATGTTTCATCGGTTTTTAATTCCTCGATATCAAGTGAAGAGGTGGCATCATCTTCACCTCAGGAAATTTCCTGAATTCCTGATGTCTTGAATGTTCCTGTTTCTGCAGACCAGGGAAAGGTTCGTTTCTACCAATCAGCTGTCCTTGAAATCGAAAATTCAACTCGTCTCATACATAATTCGCACAGTCAAGGCACTATTTCAATCTTTGAAAGAAAATAAAAAAACATCTCTAGCATATCAAGTAAACACTTAAATTTATCATCCATTGGCGCTTCATATACACAATAAAAATACGCATACATAACTTTTTTGACTGCCTGAAATAAAAAGCAAAGTATTTCCAATCAATTCCATATTATACATGCTTAAAGAGATCGCATAAAATTTCATTATTTTAATCTCGGAGGCCTTATATATCAAAATGTAGATACCTACTTTCTATTTCATTTTATTGCTCTAGACGTGTTCTTTCGGTTAATTTATTCATCTTCGTAAAATTTTACATTTTCCCAACATTGAGAAAATATTAATATAATATATAAATATGGCCTAATATAGCAAATTATAGGCAGCTCAATTCTTGATCGTCTGAACATGCTAAACATTTTATTTGCTATTCATCAGGTTGTAACTAATCTACTCCTACTCCAATCACTGATGAACATTGCCGAAGGAGTTATAAGGCCGTTGAATCAAGTGAAGTCACTGAATCTTCTCAAAAGTCATTATCAGAATGATGAAGCACCAGACCCTATGCAAATGCCTATGTGTAAGTATGTGTTATCTAAAATATCTTAAATATAAGACTTTCTGAAACGATTTTTTTCTCTCCTTCAATGGTAAATAATCCAGTAAAATTATTTTGAGAAATTAAAAATTGTTAAATTTTTTTAAAAAATTAGAATTCTACTGCAATTTTAAAAATGATCTAAATTACTATTTTCTGGAGCGTACAGTGAAAAGAATGATAATTTCATTCTTTTTAATGTACGCTGAATTAAATAACATCTCTGAGATTATTAGTATTAGATACTATTATTAGAATCATTTAACAATTATATTTTTTTTTCTAACGAAGTAAATGATATCTAAATAAAATGATACATTAAATTACTCCACCAATTAGGATCAAATACAGGAAATGTTCACACAATTTTGGCATTGGAATTACCATTCTAATTTATGACTGGCAAACGTTTCATGACGATTAGTCCAATGTGTTTCTCAACGCCTTCAGTTGCCGAAAAGGTGACCAACACCGCTTCAGAATGTATAATGTAGTATATAAATAAAGACGTTCAACGTAAAATTAGGACAAATAAGGAAGAAATTATATTCTTCGAAATTCAGCTCGATTTTATCGAAGTATTGCTATTTCGATGAACGCCACAAAAGATGTTGTTATACTTCAAGTTGCCATCGGATAGTTGCTCGAAACAAGAAAAGTATATATTGGAATAAATTTTCCGACGCTTCTGACAGAAAAAGGACTGAAGCTAGTACTTCATGCACAAATCTGTTAGGAAGAAAAATTTTGGAAGCTTCTAAAAAATCCATATTGCAAGGCGATTTAGCATGAGCAATAGCTATGGTCTTCGGAAGTTGTAGTTTTCAGGTTATGGTGCCTAATCTTGAACTTCAGACTTGTGAATATGCCTTACACAAGTCTTGTGAATCAGACTTGTGAATATGCAAAACCATTTTCAGAAGAAATCGGATAAATGCCTCATGACCAAAGCTCCGGTATTTCATCTTGTACGATTGAATAGGCTTCGTTTTATTAACTTATTAAAAGGAAACTAGAAAAGCATGCTGTCTGATTCCTGTAGGTAGAAAAAAGCTAACGATGAATGACAGCCAAATGGAAGGAACTGAAATGTCCTTAAGTTTCAAGACTTAAAGCTGAAATACTCGTATATGAAGGTACGAAAATGTTATTTTAACAGTGCATGGATAATTATGAAACAGAAATTACTTTCACTGTTCTCAATTTAGTGGGAAACTGCTGCGCATAATAATCATTCCGAACACTGCCTAATTAGATGTGTTAATTGTAGTTTGTTTACAGAGTAGTATACGATATAACGTGAAAAAAAATTCATACCTCGATTAAGCAGATAGTTTTGATGTATAAGTCCTTTATTTTTAAGGACCACAAGCGGCCGAGCGGCTAAGCCGCTGAAAACTGGTAGTTCTGACCTGATTTCGATTCTACGCGAATGAGCTGGCTGCATGGACGTTTTCGTCGGCCTTCCCATGTGTAACGTATATACGAGCCAGTTTCCCTCAGAAAGTCCCCTTCTTAGGCATCCGTCCCTTTAGGCATATAGCTCTAGTGTGCTTTGCTGTAATCAACTAAACCAAACCTTTATTTTTATCCCATAGCGCTACTATCTCAACCTGTAGTGGCAGCTACCTATTACTTCAGCTCTGCAAGGAGGCCTTTGAATGGAGATTTTCAAAGCTTGGATGCATCAGATCGCTGTGAAGCTGCAGATTCAAGACAAGGTACTTGCTACGAGACCTCGGACTGCGTTGATCTAGGAGGAACACCAATGGGACGATGTTCACACGAAGGAGTTTGTTGCATATGTGAGTAGTTTTTCACCTCAAATTACTTAATCAGCTTTCCACAGACCTTACTTGTCATAATCATAATAACAACATTGTTTTATTTTCGTAGTTGATGTTCAGTGCGGTGGGGCCACCAGTGAAATGATATCATATTTCAGAAGTCCTGGTTTTCCTGAACCTTATGAACAAGAAGGAACCTGTAAAATGAGGATTGCGAAAAATTCTGACGCTGTTTGCCAAATTCGTCTGGATTTTCTAGTGTTTGATATTGCTCGACCCGTAGAAGGGAACTGTTCCCAAGACATGCTAGTAATTACAGGACAAAATGAAAACAATTTAGTGCCAAAGATATGTGGCCTTAATAGCGGTCAACATTGTAAGTTCATTGTTGATATGGCGTTAATATGACCTCCCTGGATAACAGTTGATATTTTTATTATGATTTTGCCAGAAGATTTGGCACCAAGTCACACATTTAATGTTTCGTTCTTTCAGATTACATAGATGTGGAGGAATCCGGGGCTATTAGTATACATGTGACAATGGTGGGAACTTATGGAAGAAAATTTGAAATCAAAGTTACTCAAGTAAAATGTACAAGTCGCGATGCAGGTAAATAGAAATACCTTTTTAATCATTTGTTATTTATTTTAATTGTAAACTTTGTTTAGATTCAAGAATGATCTGCAATTTCAATTCAGTTCATATGCACTTTAGTTGAGCTTATAGAGTTCCTCACTTCTATTAAATTAAGTGTCGAGGAAACTAGTGAAATGCTAAGCGAATAATCGTTGAAATCCAAAAACAGAAACGTAAAACCAAGAAGAGTTAATGACCCTTTATTTCAAAATAAGATTAACAGTTGGCTCCTGCCTTAGGGCTGCAGCAAAGTCTTCACTTGGGCTTAAAATGTAATAATTAAGAAGTAACTAATGACTAACTAAAGAGATTTCGCCGTATTTTAATACATTCTAAACTAGTTGGCCCGTAATATTAAATTAGCCAGCGAACTATCAAAAGGCACGTAATACGGTCGAGCGTAGTACACAGCACAGAGAGACGTAACCCAAAGGCAAACGCGCGCTACTCCGGAATCCTCTCTTTGTCGAAGTCAGTTGAATTTGACTCGAATACTATTATTCTCTTTCTCATTTGCATTAGACGCGATACTAAAATGTCATTTTGCTAGGGAGTTGTAATCTGAAGCTAGGAAAGACAGGAAAGGTGAACTAAATTAAAATATCTGTTATAAAATTTAAAAAACAAGCTTTCAAAATTTCAAAAAACTGGTTTATTTCAGAGGATTAAGTGTAACGACATGGTACTGATTATGTACATCAAAAGCCAGTTTATAGGCGAAACTACTTGTGGCCTTACATAAAGCTTGTTACTGAATTACTGAAATATTCTAAAGCATTTAAACTCTTGATAGTTAATAAAGTTGCAGTCAAATGCAAACTTTCTCTTTTTTCTAATAGACACTTTGAAAAGTAAAACATTGTTTGTTCCTAGAGAGAATTAATCTATGTAAGTCTTCCTGGAAGTGATACAATTTTATTTAATGTCTATAGCAATAAAAACCCCTATCCCCTCCCACTGCATTTTTATATTGGCGTATTTCTCTTTAATAAAATTTATCATTTTTTCGAACATTGTACATGAATAAGTTCATAATGAAAGGAAAAAAATATTCTAATTTCAATTGATGATTAACTAAAATTTAAGAATGCAAGACACTCTTATAGCTGGTTTTTACCTTAAGGAATTTGTATGCAATCGACTTCAATCTAATGCTGAAATATTTAGCTTCTATGTGATAGCGAGCAACAAGACTTATCCATTCTGTTTCGAGATATCCGTCGAATTAGTAGACTGCTGTAATTTTCGCAACACAAACGTTAATATACAGAATTATTTACAATTAAAGAATAATTACAGTTACATAGTTTCGAATCGAGAACAGAAGAGACAAGTTCTCTTCCTGGCTGCCCAGACGATCTCAAATGACGCGAGAGCAGCGTTGCCACAAAAGTCCAAAGAAATAAATGCTGGCGGCGAGAAGAACTTCAAATTCGTAATACATTCATTTAAGCGTTTTAAAACTTAAATAATGGCTAAGTCTTGCTCTCTCTACATATAATTAAAGGAAGAGTCTCTGTATGTGTCTTTCGTTCATGCTGCGCATAAGACTACGGAATTTGGTACATAGGTGCTACGAAAGACCCAGGGCTACGAAATTTGGTACATAGGTGCATCTAGACAAGAGCCAGTGCACCTTGAAGCGAATTTTCCAAAATTCGAACGAGCTTTTTTTATTTTATGTTTTTTGATGAATTCGCATCAAATCGATAATTCTCTCTCACTATATCAGCAACAACGGCACGAGCCATTGTTGCTGACATGTCACTATTGCTGATGTCAACACTGTTACGCACCAAATAATTCCCTCTACTCCAAAATTCGAGGTAATACTATGCCAAATATAAAGATTTAATTTACAAATCTGAGATAAATACTAACACACTGGAACTCCCAAAAACACACTGTTAATTTTCTGAGGATCCTTATAACGTAAAGAATTATTTTATATTATCGTTAACAAATTATTAAAAAAAACTTTATTTAGTAAAAAGTTATCGAATGGTTTATGTATCAAACCAACTAATTTTCTTTTACTTTAATTTCTCAATTCTCTGCGATGATTAATTAAATATTCAGTTACTAATTATATTAAAAAATTATTATGATTAATTAGAGGTGATTAAAAAATTCAGGACCTATCGAACATACAGATAAAAAAGCAAATGTTTTAAGTGAAAATTCAGAACGCTCTAATTTTTTTTCAAAAATTTAAAAGGCGAAATAATTTATAAAGAAGGTTTGTCGATCCTGAAATTCATACTAGTTTGAAAACAAAAATAACACTAATTTTGCCCATTTATAAAGAATGATTTGAGTAAAATTAGTTATTTAATACCCACAGAAAATATAGAAAAAAATATTAAATACGAAGGTTTCGACTGCAAAAGCAGACTCTGACATCAGAATGTCTACAAAACAGTCCTACTTGCAAATATATTTATGCATTTTCAATCATCAATTTACATGGGTTCTGATAGTATTTTTTAACTGGATGTTTTTATAGAAAAATCATTTGAAAGTATGCTTGTATGTTGTTTGAGTGCAGATTCCGTTTAAAAATTTAATTCAAATACTTTTGCTTTATCGAAGTCACTTCCTCAATAAATTTGTAACCTATACTTTGAAATGAAGTCATCAAATTTTTTTTGTGTGTGAAGAGTGTAATCTAATTCTTTGAGGGATGCTACACAGAACATTTCACTCTATTTTCCAGCACAGAAGACAGTGTTGCAATTATATTAGTTTGGCCAAGGAAGCTGAATAACTTCTTCATATACTTCAAACTATGATTGAAAAATCTGACATCGGAGACATTATCATCTTGAAATATGCAGTTATTCTTAGGAAATAGGGAAATAGTGTCTGCGTTACAGAATGGACATGGTCGCTTATAGTGAACGATATTTATTCTTTCTTACAGTGCGATATTTGGATCTGCTGCAAAACATAGTTTAACTGCCCAATGCATATATCATCATCCCGAAGTAAGAAACAGTGCGAAGTTTGACTCATGTGAACACGGCATTGTTTTCACTGCTCAACATTCTACATTTTATATTCCTGGATCCACTGTAGTCTCTATTTTGCATTTATATGTGATTCAAGAACTTTTCAAGAAAGTAGCTATACGAGAAATATTCTCTTTATGCAGTTCCCTTCACACTCTGCGAGTCGAAACTGAGTTCTGTACATGTGTACTAAACTTGCCTTTCTCCCAGTAATTTTCTTTCTGACATAATAATGCTCTTTAACATTCTTGGACTCTTGTCAGTAAATTTATAAGGTCTGAAATCTTTCACTACTGTAAACTGTGACCAAACCTTTGACAGATATAGCGACTTATCGCTATGTCTAAGTACAACAGAGACTTAAGAACGGTAATAAAAGACCCTTTATTTTAAACTAAAATGGATGAACAGAAATCACATTTGGTACTTACAAATCCGCCAGCATTTATGGCGGGAAACTCGAAGTAGAAATTCAGTGTAAAGCTAATTAAATATATAATAGCCAAAAACTACACAAAGCAATTTAATCGCGAAGTTAGCTCGGACTTTACTGATGAGAATAACTATCGGTAAGAAGTAATGCAACACCGAAGACAGAAACTCTTATCTAGAATAGCAAACCTAGTAACATGGCCTTCAAGAAGCAAAATACGCTCTAAATATGGTTAACAATCTCAAACCCTCACTTACATTTTTGTATTCTGGGGGAAGGGGTGGAACGGAAAGAGAGAAATTTATAATAAAGATTCCAAACATAAAACAACTGGTTAAACAAATTAAATAAACCTCACAAGTTTTGTTTTTCTCCCACAGTTGTGTCTCGCTAAGGATGTTTTGCCGGTAATATTGTATGCTATCATGACTTAAGACACAATACCTCTAAATATCCACAATATAATTTAACTGCTGAGGTTAAAAGTGCACCAACGTGCCAGACTACCCCAATCTGACCTCTCACTTATTTTTTTTTTCCATTATGCACTAAATTTCACAGTCAAAACTTGTAGTTTTATACAATCTTGAGAATAGATGCAAAATAATCATGCAAATTTATGTCTAATTTTATTGGGATAATGTGTAGCCAATCCAAACAAATTTCTAGGCATGTATTTCTATTATTCTAAAACAATTCCTGTATATACAAGTAATATAAACCTTCGATTTAAAGTCTTATACAAGTAATATAAACCTTCAATTTAAAGTCTTCTTTGAATTTCTATTTGCAGCTCCACCACACTGTCTTCAGTACCACAGAGGCACAAGAGGCTCTATTAAAAGCTTCAATTACGATGAACCGGGACTTTTAGGTCTCGGTTATCCAAACAATTTGGATTACGTCATATGCATCAGAAAAGAGCCAGGATTTTGCTCAATTACTTATCAATTATCTTCTGACGGACGGAACGTATCACCTTTCGCCGTAGGGGCAGTTGCAGGAGCTGCTAATGCTGCAGCGGGGCCAACAGGGCCAGTTGCAGCAGAATGCCATGATGATTACATTCTCTTCACTGGTATCAGAGTTTGTTCCGGAAGAGTGGCAGCAGCTGGACCACCCAACAGACCAGTAAGAGAACCAAATACAACGTCTACTTACATTCTTACCGGTAAGTACATTGGCAGTTTTTCATTTTTGAAAAGAATTTTGAAAGTGCTCCTCCTAGTTTTGGCAAAACAAACCAATAAAATAATCAGATGTAACATAACGAAGCTACAGATTTAAAATCTGCGATTATGCAACTCAATGCAAAACCTTTAGAAATTTTACTAAATCATTCATCACCTATATTACTTTGTTTCGCTTACAATAATGCTTTTAAATATTCATGTGTGTTTTTTTAGATACGAAATTTTACAATTTCAGTCTGGTGCAGCTTTCAGTTGTCAGTAATATCACTTCATCGCTTTAATTCAATTCATGTACTTTCATTTTGATCCCGCTCGTGATGCATTAGATTTTCAGAGAATATCTTTTTGTTTTGATCGTTGCATCAGTTGCTCAGTCGGTATAATGTTTCTTACAACGATAAATTCGGGCTCCAATCCCAGGAATTTTCAGCGATTCTCGCAGAAAATATCGGTCTACTCATTCGGCAACGTTCACAGTGATGAGATGGTGAAATGGCCGACTGGTTTGTCCAGCTCCTCTGAAAATGCCAAATCGATGAGACCCGGATACTGAGGAGGAAGAAATGAACAAAGATCCTATTCGGCATAAAAAATTATAATCTCTTCTTTAAACTGAAATTCAGAAATTAAAATCAAGGAAAAAAAGATGTACAGACACGGTGTTAAAATGAAATCAGAAAAAAAGTCAAAGTTTAGAAGATTAATGTATCATATAAAATATCATATAAATATTTGAAAGCAGGTACTGTGTCTATTCTTAAATTTTTCTAACTATAATGATAACTATTCTTAAATTTCTTTAATCCAAACGTTGCAGTAGATCCAGTAATTTCACTTTCAAAAAAATAAAATGATTCTTAATCTCATATGAAATCATCGAAATCGGAAACATTAAAAGCAGAGGTAAAACTAAAAAATAACGTTCATCTGGCCAAGTTCATAAAATTATATAGACATAGTAGCATTATTTTTCATGACAGTCTATATACATAATTTCAGATATCGACAGATATCTATATGCCTAAGTTTCTACCATCAGATGGTTTATGAATATTAGAGATCAAAGCATATTCTAATATCTCTTGAAACAAACTTTGATCCAAAATAATTACAAAAAATAGTTACAAATTCAAAAACAGATCCAAAATAGTTACAGTAGTACCTAAGAGACACCTCTATTTAAGAGACAATTGTGTTGGTCCCGCTCCCTTTGAATAGGGACCTCAACATATTTACCTCTTACTAAGGGACACTCAAAAAGTTTCAAAAATAAGATACAGCTAGAGAAACAAATTAAAACATAAATTCTCTTAGTTAGTAATCTTTTGAGGCTTCAAAGGCAAGTTTGTGCTCAGGGAAGTTTTGAGACAAGGGAACAAAACAATGAAAAGTTAATCCTTTTCTTTTAAAAACTTCCTTTCAGTAGGGAAAAGGCGGTACAGGTCAGTTCGACGCCAACGTTTCGACGCCAGCGTTTCGACGCGTGGTCTATTCGACACGAGGTCGTTTCGACGCGGGGTCAGTTCGACGCCATACTTTTTTTGCTTTTGTTTGATGCCATACTTTTCGTATTTTTATTTATTTTTAGAATAAGTTTGCATCATCATTCAAATAAAGGCTAAATCGCAGAATAGGCTGCATCAGTCGATGTTGTGTTTACTTCTCTTATGCTTGGACACGCCTTTTTATGACGTAATATTGGTTACGCCCCTTCTTAAAAACAAGTTATAAGTATGCTATAACTTCGTATTTAAAGAAAACTTAAATTATATTTTACTGAGTTGAAATGGTGGGTTTATAATGTTCTGCGCTAAATTTTTTTAATTATAAATTTACTTTTGTGTGTTGTGTGGTAGTGTTAGCATTTAACGCAACGAATTATCTCTCACAAATGTATTATTAAGATACCAACGATTGAAAACGATCATTACCAAACGATTGAAAATACTGAATGCATGAGTTAAAAATTATAACCGTAACTTCTGAAATTACAGAAAAGAATTCTTTTGCTTAAAGAATGTTTTAGATTATTGATGAGTGTGTCAAAATCGGTGCGTACTGCAGAATGGATGGGTATCTGAATCTGGATTTTGTTAATCAGATGGAGCAAAGAGGCAAAAAGAGCGTTATTGAGTGGTGTATGGAGAAATGTTTGATTGGAATATCGTATAAGTGCCCAATTTGTGGAACAAATATGAAACTAGTAGAGCGAAAAAACCGTATAGAGGGTTTTGAGTGGATGTGTAGAGTTACTGGAGGCGAATGTAGGCATCCAGTTTCAAGGTTTGTTCGGAAGAACTCCTGGTTTGTGAAGAGTAAATTCGACAACTCAAATCAATGGAGTTGGTTACGCGCGAGTTTCTGCAATTCTGTGATTTTTTTTTTAATTGAAAGCAGATTTCTGAGTATATGAGCAATGGAGAATTTATTCAATGTCTGATTTTTTTTTTAAAGTAAAAATAGATCAATGTGCACATGGGCAAAGCCAATGTGGTGCGCAATGCCGAGGTTGTGCAACTCTGGGATGTTTTTAAGTGAAAATAGATCGATATGCACATGGGCAAAGCCAATGTGGTGCGCAATGCCGAGGTTGTGCAATTCTGGGATATTTTTTTAAGTGAAAATAGATCTATGTGCACATGGGCAAAGCCAATGTGGTGCGCAATGCCGAGGTTGTGCAATTCTGGAGTGTTTTTTCAAGTGAAAATAGATCGATGTGCACATGGGCAAAGCCAATGTGGTGAGCAATGCCGAGTTTGTGCAATTCTGGGATTTTTTTTAAGTGAAAATAGATCTATGTGCACATGGGCAAAGCCAATGTGGTGCGCAATGCCGAGGTTGTGCAATTCTGGGATGTTTGTTTAAGTGAAAATAGATCGATGTGCACATGGGCAAAGCCAATGTGGTGCGCAATGCCGAGTTTGTGCAATTCTGGGATTTTTTTAATGAAAATAGATCTATGTGCACATGGGCAAAGCCAATGTGGTGCGCAATGCCGAGTTTATGGAATTCTGGGGTGTTTTTTTATGTAAAAACAGATCGATGTGCACATGGGCAAAGTCAATGTGGTGCGCAATGCCGAGGTTGTGCGCGAAGCCGAGTTTGTGCAATTATGGGATGTTTTAAGTGAAAATATATCGATGTGCACATGGGCAAGGCCAATGTGGTGCGCAATGCCGAGTTTGTGCAATTATGGGGTGTGTTTTTTTAAGTGAAAACAGATAGATGTGCACATGGGCAAAGTCAATGTGATGCGCAGTGCCGAGTTTGAGCAATTCTCTGATTTTCCTTTACGTGAACATAGATCGATGAGCACATGGACGCCGAGTTTCTGGAATTCTTTGACGTTTTTCGAGCGAATACTGATCGTTGTGTAAAAGGGAAATGAGGTTGTGTGTGATGCCGAGCAGTAATGTAGCTTTATTGTGTAATTTTATATGTGCAATGTTTATATCGTTTGTGTATTTTAAATTTGTATTGTTGTTTTAATTGTGAACTATATTTAAGACATCATTTTTCATTTAAGTTGTATTTTTAAATTTTTGGTTTTGCTTTGTTTATAATGCTTTCCGATTTACGATATATATCGATAGCCCGACGATCTATTCAACAGTAGCAAAACTGTAAACTTTAACCCTTTAAGTAACGTTTACCTCATATTTTAATACGTAGTGTTTTGGTATCGTAATTGCACTTGATAATACGAGTTTATTGATAATATGTGTGTGTGTGCGTATGTGAAGCATTGCTTAGTGTTCCAACTTTGTAGTATTTATTTTATTATATTATTTTCTTTCATTCTGAGAAATTAGATTTTTTTATTTATTAATTCGTAGAATTCTAGTATGCCTACACAGAATATGACGGGATTAGGAATTTTAGAAAACTGATATGAAAGCTGTGTAATGATGTTCATATGCAATAAAAAATATTCTTCTTTTTTTATTAATATAAGTTAAAATTTTTTAGAAAATAATGAAAATTGTCTACTTATTGGTATGTCAGAAATTATGTCGTTACGCAGCAAGAAAATAATTTGTAAAAATGATAAAATTGAAATGTTCCACAATATAAATTTAAATTAAAAAAAAACTTATTTGTATAAACGCTTTAATAAAAATCTTTGAAAATATTGAAGCTCTACAAATATTAGAGGGCTGCGACGTTGTTTATCGTTTTAATAATTGGTAGAATTCGCTCACTGTATCATGGTAATTTTAAATATAAACAATTTATTATACTTATTATCAGTAACGCCTAAGCTTAAATGTTATAAATGTAAATTAAAAGTAAAGAATTGATATTAATTTACAATAATAAACAATTTATTATTGTTATTTTTAAGAGAAAATAGAAAGTACGCGTAGTGTAAATGCGAGACTACCATGGACCTTATAAGAGATAGAATAACAGAGTGGGCGGGGTTCGTGTCACCGACATGTTGGCAAGAAAGAGTAGGGACGATCTGGTTTACTGAAACCTATGGCGTTTGTATCACATAACTCTTTTTAATTATTAAATGTGATACGTTGTATAGTGATGAGATTATGAAAGCCATAGTTTTTTCCAAATAGGATTTAATATATCTCATTAAAGCACTTTTTACTGCATTTCGCGCATTTTTTTCACGCGTAATTCTTGTACAAACATCTTTACTTTGGTACACGGTAAAACTCTAAGCTCAAAATTTATGAACTTAATTTTGCGTGTAAAATAAAGTAAAATTAAATAAGATCGATAGTACGTGATGGTTTGAAATAAATAAGGTAATATTAAACAAGATCTGATATTTTTTTTTAATTTAATGAACATTTTCAGGCAGTGATTTTCCAAACTATAATAACATTCCGAAACGATCATATTTATTTGATTATATGATCATTAAATTATTAACATTACAGTGGATTAGTTATTTTAATAATTCAAAAATTTTGGAGCATAACATTTTCTGAGCGCAATGAAGGGAAAGAAAAAAGAT